TATATATATAAATATAATATTTATTTAATAAATAATTTATTATAAAAATTAATTATATTATATAATAAATATATTTGTGTATTATGCATACTAAAGTACTAGTAAAAAAAAATCAAATTATCAATATTTTTGACATTTCAATTGCACTTAAATATTTTACATTCTCTATTCATAAGAAATAAAAAAATAAAAAATTTAATTGTCGCATTTACACCTGTTTTTTTTCTCTCGTTTTCATATATAGTTGATTATTTAGATATAGTATTTACAATGTTAAATATTTATCTATATAACTAAAATTTATAATAAATTATATATACAAGTAAATACTATGTTTAAATACATAAATCATATTAAAAGTTTGTATAAATAAATATTTTTAATTATATAAATTATATTTTAAATTTATAATAAATAATTTATATTATAATATGATATTAATTTTATTTATTGATAATTAACTTTAAAATATTAAATTTAATTTATAAATAATTATGATAAATAAAAATTAAATTAGATAAAAAGAAAAAAACCTAAAAATTCTCTCTTGTTAAAAAAGAATATGACGCAAGATAAATTTTCGTGTTTAATTAAATTAGATAAATTTTCTTGTACAATAAGTGTGCAAGGGTTTGTAAGCGAAAGGGTCTCGCAACTCACCGATCAGTGTCAGTAGTCTCTCTCAACCATCTTGGAACGAGAAGCGAAGATGCCTATCAGATGGTATGTGCAAAATCGAACCCATAATTCTATGAATTTGAAAATTGATTTTTGGCTTTCTGTTTGTTAGTATTCTGCATTGGCAACCCAACCAAGGAACTGTCGTGAACAGCCAAGTCCTGAACGAAATCTCGCAGTGCGTGGAAACCCTAAACGGCGTCAAAGAAGGAAGATGCAAAGCCTCTCTCACATTCTACAGACCTAATTTACGAGGTTACATCTTTTCTCTGCTTTGTGTCTCCCTTTTCTCTCGAAACCCTTTCTCACATTCTGATTTTTGCAGACCAGTCCGTAACAATCGATTTTCCGCGTGATTTTTTGGGGATTTCGATGCTGGAGCTGCCCAACAAATACTTCTTCATCATTCGCGGCCAGAAGATTGTTTTGGAGGCCGATTCTTCTATCTTGCTTATCATGGAGAAACTCCAGTCCTACAAGTCCAAAGTTGCCCTTAATTTTGAGGGGGTGCTCTATAAATTGGGTGACTTTCAGATTAGAGTCATTAAAGTTGTTCCCAATCAAGCGGAAAGTCTCAGGGGAATTATGGTTGAGGTGAATTATTTTTAATCATATATGTTTGTTTCTTGTTATTGATGTGCTTATGATTTGGTGAACCTATGTTATCATGCAAAATATGACAAGAAAGCCAAAAATATGCTATATCATATGGTGGACAGAGTCGTAGGCAAATAGCAGAATCAATTATATGTGAAATTGTGAATGCATATATTAATAAGTTGAATAAAAAATGACATTATATTAACTTAAAACTTCAGTTGTTGAATATTAAATAATGAAGAAAACATTAAAACGAGTGAGGGAGTGGGACACAGTCACACAACTGAGGGGGAAAATTCACTCATCCCTCATGCTGGTCTCACAAAACTGCGACACACGCAATGCCCTGTTGAAACTGCAACAACCATGGAAGCTGTAATAGCAGTTTTTGCTGGAACCACCCTGCAATGGATTCACAACAGCAAATTGGAAAATGCTATAGTGCTGCTATAGCAGCTAGTGAAACTGATACATGAAGTCTAAATAAATGTTATCTGAGTTAGTTTGAGTATTCCTACTTCAAACTTTGGAAGGGAAATGTGCAGAATCTTAAAAACAGTTACTTATCATGATTGTTGTCTCATGTCTATTTAGCCTCTTTTGAGTATCTCCTAAATATTGATATAGCTTATCATGTTCTTTATGTTAAGAGACGCATTGTCTCATGTCTATTTAGCCTCTTTTGAGTATCTCTTACATATTGATATAGCTTATCATGTTCTTTATTATATATTGATATAGCTTATAGTGTTCTTTATGTTAAGATACTGATTACATACTATAGTATATTGACTATGTGAATAGTTCGTATTTATATATGTAACCAAGACTATGTTTCTATTGATGAAATATAATGTAATGAAATAAACCTCCTTATCATTCTTTAGATATGTTATGATGAATGGAATAATTCACATTCCATCTCATTCCTCCCAAATTGGTTGGAAAAAATAATGAATATAAACAATGAAATAATAGGATGTAAGGTTCGATTACTTGTCATTATATTTCATTCTTATTTTACCAATCTTGACAATGGAACACAATCACACTATTATATTTCATTTCCTTCCGGTTCTTCCTCTTCCACTAATTGAAACAAAATGTCTTTTACACCTTAATGCAAAATCAAAGAAGTTGGATAATAAACTTTTGGCCTGTATGCTCTCTATGAAAGTTTTACCTTTGATATTAAATTCAACATTTTTCATCTGTTTCTTTGCTTTCATTCCCCTCATTTATCATGAGAATAACTCTGGTTTTGATGATTCTTTCTTCATCATTTTTACTGTAAGATATATCTCCGATTGGAATGAAATTCATTTCTGGGATTCAATGGAGCACACATCTTGGCATTTTCCTTTAGAGGTGATGTTAGTGGTGTTACATATGGTGAATGACTAATGCGCTCCTTATATGGTTTGTGTGCATGATGCTCTACTTGGATTGCTACAATAGTAAGTTATATTTTTAGCCAAAAAAGAAGAGACCCAAGTAAAGTAAGAGTTTCTCAATAAAGATTTAATTATAATTAATATGTACGAATTAAAAGTTAAAAAATTTATTTAATTATATAAATACTAAATTTTTATTCAAAACAATTTTAACGCGTATGTAATGACTTCTCTACTTGTAGATTAGCGGAGCTTACAAATTTAAATATTGAATGTTCATTTTTTGCAGATTGAGTACCTCCCTATTTCTTCAATTGAAAAATCTAAGCAAATCATGGAAGAGTTCATTGATATATGGAAAGAAATCGTAGCAAAAAAATCATTAGCTGGTCAGTTCATGCATGCCGAACCAAATTATGCAGAATATGGGCTTGGTGACAATTATACTTCTCAACATACAGCTGTTCAGTATGCTGCTGCATTGGCCCAATTAATTCAGTCTGCACAAGTACGGAACTAGGACCGATGAGAAGACCTTCATTATCTGTTGTTGTTTGAAAGATGAAAGACTACTTTCTGTTTTACTGAACAACCAATTGTCTAAGTTCAATAATTTGTTGTGTCTACCTCACTTATATTCAGTTGATTATAACTAAATTATCAATCTTTAAGGTTGGTTTATCCGTCATTCATTAGTTTGATTTTGTTTGAGTTTAATAGGAAAAAATATATAAATTTGAGTTAATCCAAATTGAATTGTTTTTATTAAGTTGGGTAATGAATTTCATTAAATCTAACCCCTATTGGATGGTGCCTACAATTGTTAGCAATATTTCCTAAAATATTGGGTCCTATTCACATTTTACTTGGATAAAAGATGAAATTGGTTTACAGTACGATGTTAGAATTGATTTCAATATCATTCTTGATGTGTCTCCCTCTCCCTAAAATATGCACTTTCTATTTAGATCTTTTGCTTAGAGTTATCCTGAAACATTAGATGGAACACACATCTAGGTTAATGTATCAACCTTGCAAGACTTGATGGTAATTTTAAGTTTTTTTTTTAAGGTACGATTTTAAATGTTCCCACATCGCTTAGATTGCAATAAGCAAATATTTGGTAGCTTTCAAATATTGAAAAAAAGAGAGAGAACAACTAAATAAAAGAAAAATAAAAAAGGTAGTGCGTTTGGTTTGGTAATGAAGAAATTGGCTGATGAAGAAATAAAGTGATGTGAGATTTACATTTTTCTTTTTACAAATCAGTGTAAAAGTATTATTAACCGATAAAATTTTAATGATGCACATGCACGAAAAGAATTATTAACCGATAAATTTTTTAAAAAAATTATTAACCAATAAAATTTTAATAATATACACATAAAAATATTAACCGATTGTAAATAATTGACAATACTTATTGACAAACAAAATCAATTGAGTATATAAATTTAACCGGTTAAATGTTTAATTTAATCAATTAAATCATAACTCAATAGCGGCAATCGATTAAATCATTGTTTTAGGAAGAGTAATTTTTTTTAATAAAGAAAAATCAAACTCATTAATCTATTGACTCCATATGTGTTCTTCATTTATGTAAGTGACATTTTTAACAAAAATAATTAAATATTACTATTATTCGATTTTCTTCAAAGAAAAAGGACTTTTTTTATTACTTAACTAATTATTATAAAAATCAATCATTTTATTTAATTAAAAATCTGGATTTAAAATTTTGTTTTTATTTTTAATTCATCTTTCTTTTATTTCTTACCTAGTTTTTTTTATCCTACTAAATATATATAAAATTATTATTTTTTATTTCTTTTAAATCAAACAATCAATTTTTACTCTATTTTTTATATATATTTTTATTCACTTATTTCTCTCTTCTTTATTTCTCACATATTTATTTTCTCTCCACTAAACACATCCTACATTAAAATTTACCGCTATAAAATTTACCGTTATATATATTAAATACAATTGATTATTTTATTTGATAATATTTTTAAAAGTTTTTCTTTAAAAAGATTGTTTTTAGGTTGTTTTATTCAATGAGAGAATTTTTAAGAATTTTTTTAACTTTTTTTAATCTAATTTACTTTTTATTTATCATATTTATTGATAGGTTAAAATTTTAATATTTTAAAATAAATAATAAATAATTAAAAATAATTTTGCATCATGATATATTATTTATCATAAATATTAAATATGATTTACATATTTAAAATATTTATTTATATAAATTTTAAATTAATTTGATTTATATAAATTGTAAAATAGAGATATCTAAAGATACAAATCTCTTATTATTTGTCTCTATTCTATTATTAAATAGATATTTATTTAATTATATTTAAAATTCATAGTAATTTTTATCCTCAAATATTTTTGGATAAATATTTTTTTAGAGAGAGGAATTGTATTGAAGTGTGTGCCATATTTCATTGTTTACAAATCATGGTAGAAAGAGGTTCACGCAATTAGTTGTGGTCAAAACGGAATCAGCTCTTGCTTGGGTCAACAAGTGAGTCTCAATAAGATTATTCATAACTTTAAATAGCTTCGAATTCAGAGCTCTTATATACGTGGATTAGTTTGCACGTGTATAAGAAAGAGTGTGTACAACAAAAACAAACACAATTGTCATATCATATGTATTCCTTCATAACTTTTGATAGTTAAGAGGTTAACCAATGATTTATTCTTCGTGAAATATTGATTGCTTTTTGATCATGTGAATTGCGTGAAAATAAAATAATCTAGATTAATGGGTTTAAGAACTTTTTAAAAACTGATTTTGATAGAAAAATTATGAATAAAAAATTTCACTAAATTGATGTGAATTTATAAATTTTAAAAATAGAGAATTCTTGATTTTTAAGCCATGTATGCCTCAATTCAAAAAAATCTATTTGAATTGACGTCAATTCATCGAATTTTTCTAAATTGTATTAATTTATTTGAAATATTTTACTTCAATTAAAATTTAATTATTTATTATGCATGAGAAATCACACTGAATATTCATGATTAAATGGATAAAGCAAACAATTAATAGTTGACAAATTCCTAAATTCAATTCTTATAAAATGCAAATACTGAGATTAGAAAATATCATTAAAATAATAAATGAGACTACTATTTATAATAAATGTAACTAGAAAGTATTAGGAAATGTAATATAAATTAAGTCTATGCATATTAAACATGAACTTCTTAAACAAGACTATTTTAATAAAAAATTTATAAAAAATTTTTAATTTAATTTTTTATTCAATTTAATTTTTATTTATGATTATTATTTAAAATTAAATATTAATATTTCAAAATAAATTATCAATA